CCCTACACATACGTCGATTGCGATAGGTGGACGAATACTTATGCGACCGACTGTACAATTTTTTTTTTTTAAATAAAAGATATGGACAAAATAATAAAAAATATGGTGTACCTTTACTTTCTTTTCTCTATACACACGTCAATTGCGATGGATGGACGAACACTTATGTGACCAACTGTACAATTTCTCTTTTTTTAAATAAAAAATATAGAAATTAATTTTAATTTTTTATTTTCTTTTTTTTTTAATAAAAGATATAGAAATTAATTTTTATTAATACAAAACAAGCTTATATCAATAAAAATCAATTTCTATATTTTCTATTTTAATTTTACATGTACCTTTGCTCTTTTTTCCCTATACATACACCTACTGCAATAGATGGTCACATACTTATGCGACCGACTGTACAACTTCTTTTTTTTAAATAAAAAGATATGGAAATTAATCCTTATTAATACAAAACAAGCTTGTATTAATAAAAATTAACTCCTATATTTTTTCTTTTAATTTTACGTCTACTTTTGCTTTCTTTTCCTTACACATACGCCACCTGTGATAGGTGGAGGAATACTTATGCGGCCGACTGTATGTTAAAACAATCTGATACACGAATTAAAATCGGTTCCAAACAGGACACTGTATTCTTTTGTTTCGCCAAGCCTGCTACGTCTGCCCCAATGGCAACAGGTCATTGTAAGGTTAATCATAACGTTTCTGCGCGTTCTTACCTTCAGTCAGAGCCCGAAAGCTTCATTAACAAGGAACCACTGTGACTTTTGATCTTCTTTCGGCGAATTAATTAATGGGGTAAAGGTTACCCCACTTCCTCTCGTGGATTTTGCACTTTTCGGTGCATTCCAATTAGGCAATCGCGAAACTTTTGGTTTCCAACTTTTCAAGGGTTTTGCACTAAGAGGGACTTAATTAACTTCTTTCCTATTATACGTTGCGATGGACGCATAAATGATTTCACAGTACAATATGACTATAACGTGGTAATACAGTTCTGAATGCAACGAAGGGTTCATAGAAATCGTATTCATTTTAGGGATTAATTCAAGATTTTTCAAGTAATTGTTGCACGAAATTATAGACTATTCGATACACTCGTGACTGCTTTATATTTTCATTTTATTTATTTTTAATCTCTTTAACTGTATCGTGTTTCAAGGGAAACGTGGTTTTTCGATTTTGGTTCATTTTAAAATATTAGGTCTACCGGAAAGTTCTGTCCGTTAATGTCATCTAAAGTTTTGTCGAATTCACTATACTTTCCAGACTTAATACCTAATTCAATTACCATCTGTTTCTTTCCCTCAAAAATTTTTTAAAGGGAAACAGTTTGGAGAATGAAGCAGGTGTCAAGCAAACACTGCTCAAATTCTTTGCCTTTAAAGGTGAGGCCTTTCAAGAAAATGGAATTCACAAATTTCCATCATCCTGGGAAGTGGCCATAAGTAACGATGAAAATGATATTGTTAGATAAATATAAATAAATTTGTTGAAAATGTATTATTTTCTTTTACTTCAAAAAGAGATAGAACTTTTCGGTAGATCTAATATAATTTTGTGTTAAAAAATACCTGATTCTACTTTTACTCGAGCATTTAACTATAAAATTATATTTAATTATAAAACTATATTAAATATTAATTGTAACATATTTAAGCATTACTTATTACATTAACATTACTATTATAAACTTATTACTAATATACATTACTCATATAAACGTATCCTTATTTCTGGAGATACATTGTATGATCATTGGAGTTATTTAAAAGACCTCTTTGAATAGTTTCTGACTATCTCAGCGAAACAATTACCTATAACTGATTGTAGCTATTTAAAAGACTACTTTGAATGGTTTCTGACAATCTCTGCGAAACAATTATCTACGTTTGAAATATACCTAATATAACTGAAATAATACCTTCAGGTTCAATAATAGCTCAATTAATCTCACGTATCTTTAAATAGCAATATCAACCGATTCAGTATAATTTCGATTAATATAGAACTCAGATGAATCACTATACAAAATAGATTTCGTTTGGAAAATTTATTATAAATTTTCTACTTAACTGAGACGTTTTTGATTTTCCATTTCTTCCCCTTAAATTTTCGGTTGTGATAATTTTTATCACTTAAACTCTTGTTTTTACAAGGTTTTCTATTTATGTAAATAACAATATGGAGGAGTGTATATGTACTGTGCTGGAGAAAATGCTATCAGAAGCACAGGGACAATGAATGTCCAGCAGGTAGATACCAACATAGAAAACATTAAATGACAGCTTTACATTGCCGTAGATGCAATGTTACGAGTTCATTCTTAACATAAGGAAAGTAATAGTGATTTAAGGATCTTTGCCCTTGCAATTTTGATTCTACAAAATTGTGTTGTAAAATATGTTCCACGAAATTGAACAAATCCCAATTTAAAGAAATTATTCACTGGATAATTTATGAAAAATGACATTTTTACAAAATAAGAATAGAAATAAATCTTTTATCAAATAAAATTATAACGAGACTTTTTCTAAAATGAAATAAGTGAAGTCTGTAATGTTAGTTAAAGAATGAAAAAATAAAAAATAAATAAAATTCGTGGGAAAATAATTGGTACAATCTTGATATAGATCGTTGAAGTATTTAGTTATTTAAGCAGATAATTCAGCTCAGTTTCTCTTTATGCTTCCTTCCCGTGAATTTATT